TTTTTTTTTTTCCCTGCCTAAGCTCAGCCTAAGCACTCTGTCACCGCTGGGGATTTGGTGGCAGATTAACTCAAGGTGTCTCAAGCCTGGAGAGCCCCAGAGAGCTGAGCCAGAGCAAACTGCTCCTTGTTTGGGGCCTTTTCTCCTTGTTTTTGTGCTTGTAGAACTTTGTGGAAGGATCCCGTTGTGGCCTTAAAGGAGGCTTCTAAAAAAGAGGAAATTTTTTCCTGGGCAGTGACAGAACACGGGGGAAGAGCAGAGCTTTAGGTTGAGTGTTAGGATGGAATTCTCACCTGGGAGAAGAGCAGGAAGTCTTAAAAAGCTCTCAGAGATAAATAATACACCCTTGAGAGCTCAGCTATCTCAGGTGGCATAAAATAAGCAGGATGGCTCCTGTGACAGTGTTGGAAGCAAACAAGTTTTAATAAAAATCAAAATAGAAAAGCTCTTTAAAAAAAAAAAAAAAAGCCAGGGCAAGAGGTTCTTGCTCCTGCTAAAACACTTCACAAAAAAATCAAAATAGAAAAGCTCTTTACAGAGAAAAGCAGAGCCAGGGCAAGAGGTTCTTGCTCCTGCTAAAACACTTCACAAAAGCGATTTGCTGATTTTGTTGTCTTCTTTTTCTAGTGAATTGCTCAGGGACTTTTGGCTCCTGTCCAGTTGTGTGTCCTTAAGTTTGAGGTGATCCCCAGGGTCCTGTGAGGGGTCTTTTAACCAAATTGAGGAGAGAAACTTGCGGGTTTTTTCGTTTTTAAGGAGACAAAGGGTAACTTGTAAACTCAACAGGGGGCTGTGGTGGAATTACAACCCTGATGCCCTCCCCCATTTTAAATTTAATTTCTGCTTTGCTGCAGCCCCAGGTGTGGGCAGCAGCTCCCTGAGCCCCTGCGTGGTGCTTCCGAGCAGCTGATCCGTGCTGCTCTTCCCAAGAAAAGTTTGTCCCCGCGGGCGCTCCCGAGGGGCTGAGTGAGACCTGCTGAGCTCCCCAGGGGCTCTGCTGGGCTGCAGACAGGCAGGGGGAGCACGGGGGGTCCCCCAGAGCCCCCCGAGCAGCCTGGAGTGCAGCTCGTGTCCCGTTCTGCAGGCTCTTCATCGAGAAGCTGCCGCAGCACCGCGACTACAAAAGCGCCGCCGTCCCCGAGAAGAGGGAGACGGTCAGAGTAAGTGGGGGCAGCAGCAGCAGCAGCTCTGCAGGGGGACAGCAGCAGCTGTGCAGTGGGAACAGCAGCAGCTGTGCAGTGGGGACAGCAGCAGCAGCTGTGCAGGGGGACAGCAGCAGCAGCAGCAGCAGTGCAGCGGGAACAGCAGCAGCTCTGCAGTGGGGACAGCAGCAGCAGCAGCTGTGCAGTGGGGACAGCAGCAGCTGTGCAGTGGGAACAGCAGCAGCAGCAGCTGTGCAGTGGGAACAGCAGCAGCTCTGCAGTGGGGACAGCAGCAGCTGTGCAGGGGGACAGCAGCAGCAGCTGTGCAGTGGGAACAGCAGCAGCTGTGCAGTGGGAACAGCAGCAGCTCTGCAGTGGGGACAGCAGCAGCTCTGCAGTGGGGACAGCAGCAGCTCTGCAGTGGGGACAGCAGCAGCAGCAGTAGCTGTGCAGGGGGACAGCAGCAGCTGTGCAGTGGGAACAGCAGCAGCAGCAGCTGTGCAGGGGGACAGCAGCAGCTCTGCAGTGGGAACAGCAGCAGCTCTGCAGTGGGGACAGCAGCAGCAGCAGCTGTGCAGGGGGACAGCAGCAGCTGTGCAGTGGGGACAGCAGCAGCTCTGCAGTGGGGACAGCAGCAGCAGCAGCTGTGCAGTGGGGACAGCAGCAGCAGCTGTGCAGTGGGAACAGCAGCAGCTGTGCAGGGGGACAGCAGCAGCAGCAGCAGCTCTGCAGTGGGGACAGCAGCAGCAGCAGCAGCAGTGCAGCGGGAACGTGCTCAGGGGCTCTGGCATGGCTGAGCTGCACAGATGCTGAGGAGCCTTGGCTTGGCCAGGCAGTTCTGGGCTCTCAGGGTTCAGTTCTGGGCCTCCGGAGCGTGTCCAGAGGTGGGAAGGGAGTTGGGAAGGGGCCCGAGCCCCAGGAGCAGCTGAGGGAGCTGGGAAGGGAGAAAAGGGGGATCAGGGGGGCCCTTCTGGCTCTGCCCAGCTCCTGGTCGGGCTCTTCTCCCTGGGAACAGGGACAGGATAAGGGGAAACGACCTCACGTTGCACCTGGGGAGGCTTAAGTTGGGCATTGGGGAAATTTCTTCCCCAAAAGCTTTGTCCAGTCCTGGCCCTGGCTTCCAGCAGCCCTGGAAGAGTTCCCAAACACCTGGGGACGTGGGTTAGGGTGCACAGCTGGGGGAATGGTTGGACTCGATCTTGGAGGTGTTTCCCAACCTAAACAACTCCAGGATTCTCTGAGTTAGGGTTTGGGGGTTCTCACCCCGTTGTCCTGGCACTGGACTGGCTGTGGTGAACACTTTTCCTCCTGGGGTGTCCTTTCCTCCTTTCCTCCCTGTCCAGCTCCCTGCTTTTCAAAGACCACGGGTGCTGGCTGGTGACTTCCTTTTCTCCAAGGCAATCCTTGGAGGTTCCTGGCAGCCCCAGGAAGCCGCAGCTCCTCTGCTCGGCGCTGACCACAAGAGGAGAGAGGACAGCACTCTTGCCCAGTGGTTTTGGTGGTGGATTTTGGGCTCTTCAGCTGCTCAGGTTTCCCTCCCCGTGCCCTGGGGCTGCTGATGCTGTGCTTCCTCCCCCAGAAGCTGAAGGAAGTAGCCTTTCCCCGAGCCGAAGAGCTCAAGGAGGAGCTGCTAAAGAGGTACGCCAAGGACTATGCTAAGTACAAGGAGCAGGAGGTGAGTGACAGGAGACTGCAGGCCGTGCTCCCCAGGAGCCCCCCAGCCTGCAGAAGCTCCAGGGCTCCCTGGGTGCTCGGGAATGTCCAGTCTGGGTGGCCCCAACCTTTCCCAGGCTTGTCCCCTGCTGTCCCTGCGGGTGGCCCTGGCTCTGCTCCCCCTGCATCCTCAGCCAGCCTGGCCTGGGGCTGTGTGCTTGCTTGCTTCTCTCTGCCCCACGAAAGGAAAGCACCACCTGATGAAAAATTTGAAGCAGAAATTCAATTTAAAATGGGGGAGGGCGTCGGGGTTGTAATTCCACCACGGCCCCAGGGTCTGTGTGGGCCAAGCAGTCACCTCTGGACTTGAGAGACAGAATCGAGGGAAATCAACCTGGGATTTAATTCCATGGAAGAGGGAGTGTAAAGCAGTGGTTTTCCTGCCCTGGGTGCAGCTGGCTCTGCACCTGTGCCCTGCAAGCTGAACTTTCCTTGCAGAAATGCTGTTTGCTGCCGACCTTTAGGAATAACCTGGGGGTCTGCCCCGGGCCAGTGTCCCCCTCCCTGCTGCTGTCCCTGGGCCTGCTCCTCCTCGCAGCAGGAGGAGGAAGAGTAATTTGCACCCCTCTGGCTTTGCAGCAGCAGCTGGAGGAGGAGAGGACTCGGGTGGCCCTGCTGAAGCAGCAGCAGGCAGAGCAGGAGCAGTTCCAGGCCTTCGAGGAGATGATCCGGCAGCAGGAGCTGGAGAAGGAGCGCCTGAGGATCGTGCAGGAGTTTGGGAAACCAGAGCCAGAGCCTGCGGATGGTCCCCTCATCCCTGGCGTGGAAAAGCCCCCAACAGATTTAATGCCAAAGCCTGCAGGCTCTGCAGTTCCCCCAGCAAGCCCAGCAGTGGGGACTGTGCCCTCCAAGCCTCCTGCTGTGGACAGATCCTTGAAGCCCAGCGCTCTGGGGAGCACGGAGAACAGTCAGTACCTCTTGGAGCAGCCCTTCTCCTGCTGGGGCTGCCAGGGCCACTTCTCTGGGGAGCTCTTGGAATTCCTGACCTCCCCCCTGGGTCACTGGGTGCTGTCCCCTCTGCTCTTCCAGCCTCTGTGCTTTTCCTTGATCCAAATCCTTGCTGGGGATTGGGGTTTAGCTCCTGCTGGGCTGGCTGAATCCTCCTCCTGACCAAATCCCACTAAATGTGGTTCCAAAATTCGGATTCAGAGATGCTGAGTGTTGCCCAGTCCTGCTGTAAATAACATTTCCTGAGGGTGTGTGGTTTCATTTTTAGTAACAAAACACTCCTTCTGACCCCCTGCCAGAGGATCCTTCCCCTCTCCATCTCCCTTTCCCTGCTCTAAAGCTCTGCTCTTCCCCCATGTCCTGTCACTGCCCAGGTTAAAAAAGTAATTTTTTTTTATTTTTTAGAAGCCTCCTTTAAGTGCTGGGAGGCCACAATGAGATCTTTCTACTTAACCAACATTGTAGAAGCACAAAAACAAGGAGAAAATGCCCCAAACGAGGAGCAGTTCGCTCTGGCTCAGCTCTTTGGGGCTCCCCAGGCTTGAGACACTTTGAGTTAAAATGTCACCAAATCCCCAGCAGTGACAGAGTGCTTAGGCTGGGGGAAAAAAGGGGGAAAAAAGGGGGAAAAAAGGGAAAGAGAGAGAGGTGGCAGCTGTCCTGTATCAGTGTCACAGTGCCACATCCCCGAGCCCAGCAGGGAAGGTGACTTTACCCTCCCAGGTGGGTTGTCTCACAGCTGCTGCCCCCGTGCCTGTTCTGCAGCCCTGCTGACCCTGCTGGCCGTGCTGCCTGTCCCCGCAGGTGCAGGGCTGGATGTCCTCCGCCAGGTCATTGTCCCCAGGGAGCTGTGCCACAAGTTCCTGCAGCTGGCCGACGCCAACACGGCGCGGGGCGTGGAGACCTGCGGCATCCTCTGCGGGAAGCTGGTGAGGAAACGCCCCCGGGAGACCCCAGAAGGGGCACGGGGATTGTGTTGTCACTTTGGAAGTGGCTCAAGGACCCTGATTTTTGTCCTGGGTTCCTCGGTGTGCTGTCAGGTGTGGGCCTTAGGGGTGATGTGCCTCTCCCCTCCCTCGTTTTTGGGTTAGGCTTTCCCCACCTCGTTCAGCTGCTCTGCTGCTGGGGACACTGCTGGGGACACTGCTTGTCCTCTGGCTGTCCCAGCTGCTGGCAGGACTCTGTCCCCCCCCAAGCTTTGCGTGCCCAGGATTTGTTGTTGGCTCCAGCCCATCTGGAAGCTCCCTTTGAAATGAAGCTGTTTGATGCAGCCATCCCTGCAGCCCAGCTGCTCCCAGGCACTGGGGATGGTTTAGGGATGAGGCATGGTCCCTTTGGAGTGCAGAGCTGGCAGGGGGTGTGCAGGGCTCCTCTGAGCTCCTGGGGGTGCTCTGCCCAGCAGGGACAACAAAATCCTGCAACTCCTTTGGAAAAAGCCCTGGAACTCCTTTGGAAAAAGCCCTGGAACTCCTTTGGAAAAAGCCCTGGAACTCCTTGCAGCTGCACCTGCAGATGGGTGGTGGATGCATCCACGAGCAGGAGCGTGCCCCTTGTTGACAGAGTGACCAAATTGTCCTTTGTCTCCTTAAAAAAGCAAAAAGCCCAGAAGCTTTTCTCTTCAATTTGGTAAAAAGAAACCTCATAGGACCTTTGAGCTTCGCTTTAAACTTGGGGCTGCCCACTTGGACAGAGGCCAGGGGGTCCTGCCTGGGTAATTCACTGGGAAAAAAAAGAGAACAAAGGAAATAACTCGCTTGTGTGGGGTGTTTTAGCAGGAGCAAAAACCTCTTGTCCTTAGCTCAGTTTTTCTCTGTAGGAACTTTGGTATTTTGCCTTTTATTAGAATTTTTCTGTTCCCAACACTCCCTCAGAAGCCCCCCTGCTCCTCTGATGCCATTCGAGGTAGCTGAGCTGCCTCAGGTGTGATGAGAGCTCCTAGGGCCAAACTCCCAGAGAAAACTGTCACCATGGGCTGGCTCTGGGGCTTGGGGGGTTCCTGGTGTGGGGTCACAGCCCCTGGGATTTGGGATTGGGGAGGTGTGGGGTCACAGCCCCTGGGATTTGGGAGGTGCCTGGTGAGGGGTCACAGCCCCTGGGATTTGGGAGGTGTGGGGTCACAGCCCCTGGGATTTGGGATTTCGGATGTGTGGGGTCACAGCTCCTGGGATTTGGGATTTGGGAGGTGTGGGGTCACAGCTCCTGGGATTTGGGATTTGGGAGGTGTGGGGTCACAGCCCCTGGGATTTGGGATTTCGGAGGTGTGGGGTCACAGCCCCTGGGATTTGGGATTTCGGAGGTGTGGGGTCACAGCCCCTGGGATTTGGGGTCCCTCGCTGCAGATGAGGAACGAGTTCACCATCACGCACGTCATCGTGCCCAAGCAGCTGGGGGGCCCCGACTCCTGCACCACGGAGAGCGAGGAGGAGCTCTTCCTCATCCAGGACCAGCACGGCCTCGTCACCCTGGGCTGGATCCACGTGAGTCTCCCTCCCTGGCACCTCCAGCCCCGCGGGGAGGGCCGTGGGCAGCAGCCCCCGCTGGGGTTCTGGCCCTGGCACGGCCTCGTGCAGCGCTCCCGAGCCCAGCCTGGTTCGGCTCTGGGCCCTTCCCAAGGGAACGAGGGGAGGTGTAGGTGGGACACTGGGAGGAAATCCTTCCCTGGGAGGGTGGGCAGCCCTGGCAGAGCTCCCAGAGCAGCCAGGGCTGCCCTGCACCCCTGGCAGTGCCCACGGCCAGGCTGGAGCAGCCCGGGATGGGTGAGGTGTCCCCGCCGTGGCCGGGGTGGCACTGAGGGGCTCAGAGGATTCCAGGGTTCCCTGAATGGCTCCCCAGCACTGCCCGGGGTCCCACAGTGCCTGTGCCCTGCAGACCCACCCCACGCAGACTGCCTTCCTGTCCAGCGTGGACCTGCACACCCACTGCTCCTACCAGACCATGCTGCCCGAGTCCATCGCCATCGTCTGCTCGCCCAAGTACCAGGAGTGAGTGGGGTCTGGGGGCAGGTGGGGGGTCTGGGGGTGATTGGGGGGTCCTGGGGGCAGGTGGGGGGTCTGGGGGTGCGTTTCCAGGAGTGAGTGTGGGGTCCTGGGGGTGGCTGTGGGGTCCTGGGAGTGGGTGGGGAGTCCCAGGAGTGAATATGGGGTTGCAGGAGTCAGTAGGAGGGTCCCAGGAGTGGGTTTGGGGTCCTGGGAGCAGGTATGGGGTTCCAGGAGTGACTGGGGGGTCCTGGGAGTGGGTGTGGGGTTTCAGGTGTGAGTGTGGGAATCCAGGAGTGACTGTGGGGGTCCCAGAAATGACTGTGGGGTCCCAGGAATGAATGGCATGGGGTGGGATGGGATGGGATGGGATGTCACGGGACGTCACAGGATGTCACAGGATGTCACGGGATGTCACGGGAGGGCCTGGCCAGCCCCTGGGGCTCTCCCGGGGCCGTGTGCGGGCAGGCCTTGCCCACCCCCGGCAGGAGGCTCAGCACAGGAGCTCCCCAAGAGCTGGGGGTCCCTCGGGCTGGGCCTGCAGGGGCTCCAGGGCTGCTGTTCCCTGCTGCAGGACCGGCTTCTTCAGGCTGACGGAGCACGGCCTGGAGCAGATCTCGTCCTGCCGGCAGAAGGGCTTCCACCCCCACCCCAGGGAGCCCCCTCTGTTCACGGTGAGCTCTGGGGAGCTGCTGGGCCCTGTGCTCGGGCTCTGCCTGGCAGGCCTGCTCCCCATCCCAGGGAGGAGCTGCAGGAGCTTCTCCAGCTGCTGCAAGTGTGCTGCCGAGCTGCTGGCTGCTAGCAGGGCCAGCCCGCAGCCCAGGGATGATTTTTGGGGGGATTCGTGTCTGGGGCCTGCCATGGTCGATGTGGGGCAGGGTTAGGCAGGGCCAGCAGTTGGGGTGATGGAGCAGCTGCACCCAGGGCTGTTTTTTGGGGGGATTCGTGTCTGGGGCCTGCTGTGCTCACTGTGGGGCAGGATCAGCAGTTGGGGTGATGGAGGAGCTGCACCCACTGATGTTTTTTGGGTGGGATTTGTGTCTGGGGCCTGCTGTGCTCACTGTGGGGCAGGATCAGCAGTTGGGGTGATGGAAGAGCTGCAGCCAGGGCTGTTTTTTGGGTGGGATTTGTGTCTGGGGCCTGCCATGGTCACTGTGGGGCAGGGCCAGCAGTTGGGGTGATGGAGGAGCTGCACCCACTGATGTTTTTTGGGTGGGATTTGTGTCTGGGGCCTGCCATGGTCACTGTCGGGCAGGGCCAGCAATTGCAGTGATGCAGGAGCTGCACCCACTGATGTTTTTTGGGGGGATTCGTGTCTGGGGCCTGCCATGGTCACTGTGGGGCAGGATCAGCAGTTGGGGTGATGGAAGAGCTGCAGCCAGGGCTGTTTTTTGGGTGGGATTTGTGTCTGGGGCTTGCCGTGCTCACTGTGGGGCAGGATCAGCAGTTGGGGTGATGCAGGAGCTGCACCCACTGATGTTTTTTGGGGGGATTCATGTCTGGGGCCTGCCATGGTCACTGTGGGGCAGGGCCAGCAGTTGGGGTGATGCAGGAGCTGCACCCACTGATGTTTTTTGGGGGGATTCATGTCTGGGGCTTGCCGTGCTCACTGTGGGGCAGGGCCAGCAGTTGGGGTGATGGAGGAGCTGCACCCAGGGCTGTTCTGGGGAAGCTCAGGTCGTGTCAGCAGGTGGAGGAGACTCAGCTGAGCTGTGGGAACATCTCAGTAACCCCCGTGTCCCCTGCTGTCCTCTCTTGCAGACCTGCAGCCACGTGTCCGTGCTGGAGAGGGACGTGGTGCTGCTGGATCTCCGATA